GGCCCATGTGGCCCAGGGCTATGGCCAACCCTGACCACATTTTGGCCAGGCGAGATGCCAGCCAAGCCGCTGATGACTATAAGTACCAAGTCAGCAATACTTCAAAGGGGGAGCACTGCCCTCAGAGATGTAAACATAAGTTTAGTAGGAGTGTGCGATCAGACTTCATACAGAGAGGTCGTGTCACACTCACTCTAAGGCCTCAACAACATTCGTTGTGAGACTTGTGTACTCTGGCAAATTAGCCCTTAGAAGTTTTTAAGTGGATTGACCAAAGAGGAAATCACAAGTGCATTTAATGGTGAAACCTTCCACAATACAAAAGCCCTCTTCTTTGATAAGAATGTAGTTTATTTAGTTAATAAATGTAAATAGTGTAATTTAATATTTACATAATCCTGCGATAACTTTACACTACTTAAGAAGAATAGTACCAAGTGTCTTTACACATAGTAAATATAAAAACTAAGTATTTCACCATACTCACTAGCATATTTGGTGAGTAAGGGGTGGTGGCAGCATATCAACTTATCAACTATTGATTGATAATAAAGATGATAAAACCTCCCGATTGGGTATTTGTGATATTAAATAAAGATAAACAATAAATGAAAACGCAACAATACTACTGCACCACACCACTACTCTACTGCACCACCACATCCTCGTAGCAATGATTTTAAATTGAACAAATTTATGTTTAGGCGCGAGATAGGTAAACATTAGTTTGGAACTATAGTAGTGGATGAGTGGAACGTGTTACCTAACATCATCATAAACTCGAACACGCTGGGTATCAAATACAGACTGGATGGATATAGGAGCGATAGGGGTTGGGTGTAAACAGGACTGCCCAGTATGGACCAATAGGCCCGCTACAGTTTCCTCTATTCTTATATTCTTATGTTATTACCACACAACTATACTACTGCACCATCACACCCTCTACCATGCCATTATACAGTACTAATGCACCACACCACTATACTACTACACCACCACATCCTCTACCACACCACTATAGTACTGCACCATCTCACCCTCTATCACACCACCATACAACTATACCACACCACAATACAACTGCACCATCACACTCTCTATCACACGACCATCACACACAACAGACACCATATCACACTCAAACCACAATCCCATCATACCACAGCATACACTACAACACAAATACAGCATAATACCGTCAGCTTACAACACCATCACACCGCAATAGTATCACAACACAAAACCACAACACCATAAAACCATCACACCACAAAGCCATCACACCACAAAATCATCACACCACAACACCATCAAACCACAACACACTCACACCACAATGCTATCAAATCACAAAATCATCACACCACAAAACAGTCATAACACAACACACTCACACCACAAAGCCATCTCAATACAACACCATCACACCCCAAAATCACCACACCGTAGCACACTCACACCACAATACCATTACATAACAATAAAATAAAGCGACTACATCATCACGCCATATTATCATCACGGCCACAACACATCATAACACTATATTATCACACCAGAAAACCATTACACCATAACACCACCACACTACAACGCACTCACACCACAATAATATTACACAACAAAACCATCACAGCACAAAACCATCAAATACAACACCATAACACCACAACATACTCAGACTACAACACCATGGGGGACCGGTGGTAGAAGCGGTACCTTTCTTGCCTCGCAAGCGAGATGTCACGGGTTCGATTCCCGGGCCGGTGGAAGTTGTTTGGACTTACTTCCTAGCCCCCATTAGTTCCTGTTCACCTAGCAGTAAAGTAGGTACCTATTGTAAGTCGAAAGTTGCGAATTCGTATGCAGGGAGTTGTTGGAGCTTCCAATTACTTGATGACATAAACCACTGACTCTTCAGACTTCTACGCCCTTAACTCATGAGATATAAAGGCAAGCATGAACTTAGCATGTTTCCCTGTTGGGCGCTGTACACGCTTCTGCGCTTCACCTTACACAAGGATGTAGGGGTGTGCCCAATATAAAAAAAAAAAAAAACTACAACACTATTCTTGTACATGTTCTGGGTATTCAGTTCTAACTACAGGAGCGAACACAAACACCTGTAGAATTTTGTAGGTTCTATTTGCTGGAAGTACAGAGGTGCAACACAAGAGCCAGTGCTCCCTACTCTCTCTATGGGTCAACTGACCTCTCTCTATGGGTCACCTGACCTCTCAGGCGACATGTGGCAAGTGGTACATTAGCAGCTTCCAGATGTCGCCAGGCACATTATCTTAGCGTGTGGTGACATGAAAAATACATTGCCACATGCTGCTAGCTAAATAAGTAATGTATATAAATGGAGTGCACACATAGTATACATACAACATACATAATATACATACAGCATACATAATATACATACAATTCTTACCACCAATGAAGCGGTAAGTACGCGACGTCAGGATAAGATGATGTTTTAATAGTCAATACAATGTTAATGATAACACATTACTCATGATTTGTAGATTACAATTCAAGTGCAAATAACAGCTTCATATCGTATACAACGGTAACAGCATTTACTACACATTTATCTGATAATTACAATGACATATACATAATATCTCCCAATACATAACAGTTTAGAACAATAAAGCCAATTATGAGAAGAGACTTACGTGTAACTGGTCCTATATCGAGCAGTGGTCCTCCCCACCCTGCTATATGGCAATGAGACATAGGTCACATACAGGAGGCACCTCAAGGCACTTGAAAACTTTCACCAACGTAGTCTACGTTCCATCCTCCGAATTAGCTGGGAAGACAGGAGAACAAATGCCAGTATTCTTGCTGACACCAACTGTAGGAGCATCGAGGCTACCATTATCCACGAACATCTACTTTGGACTGGCCATGTTACCCGCATGGAAGACTGCCAAAGCAGCTACTTTAAAGTCCCCTAACGAAAAGTAAACGTAACGCCGGCGGGCAATTGAAATGGTATAAGGATAGTCTTAAGACAAACCTGAAAAAGTGCCATATCGACCCCCTCACCTTGGAGTCGATTACTCCACATCGTAACGCTACTAGGAGCACCACACGAGAAAAAGTCAATACTTTCGAGCTAGCCCGACTGCAGACCGAGGCAGACAAGCTCCAACGCCGGAAAGACACTGCCACAAACCCCTCCCGCAGTAGATGGAGCCCTCCACACGTGCGAATGTGAACGACGCTGCGGGTCCGGTATCGGTCTCTTTAGTCACCTCAAAACTCACCAACCTAGGTGACATTCCCAATAACTCATATCATTGTATCATACTCGATTCCGAGTGATAGCAAAGAAGTAGAAGTAGTATAACTAGTCTGTATGTGACATTCGTAATGCTCCCAACTCGACAGTGTTGTCTTGAACTGTCTCACCTAGGATAGATGGAGTAGCAAGTCTCTGGGGTGTTTACAGCGATCAGTTGAGAAATACTATTGTATGTTTTATTCAGGGGACCGGGGTGGCTATCGCCACAACACTCTCACAACAACCATGCGTGCTAGCGCATTTCAGCTCCCTCGCTCCTTCAACTTAACTAGTTAACTCTGTGTTCATATCAACTATTTTTTTCCGTATTACCGTTATCATAACACTCATATATTTTATCCTAAATTCCACCATTACCACTCAAACAGTGCGGGCGGTAGCATTTAAGTCCCATGAACCGGTTATAAGGAATAGAACAGCCGAAGCAACCTAAATGCACAAGAGTGCCCCTGCCGAGGCTCAGAAGTCCAGGACTTCATGTCTACGTACCCAGAGGAAGTATGCTTTCCACTGCTGAAACGCCTTCTAGGAAACAAAGTTTTACCAGAGGGCGTATCGACACGTTATGCGCAGTCTTTATCTTGACGCGTCTCACAAGTCCATCGTTATCAGGTTTTGCTTCTATTACTCTGCCAAATGGCCATTGGTTCCTAGAGCTGCCCTCTCCGGCTACGATGACCATGTCATTTGGTCGAAAGTTGTGCTGTGGTTTGAGATGGGTTTGGCGGCTTCTCAACAAAGGCAATTATTACTTCATCCAACGTTTCCAGAACTGGTCCGCTAGAAACTGAGCGTGTTTCCATCTCCTGCAATATGACTGCTCCATCAGTAGGCCACCTATGGGAAGATTACAGGTCGTACCAGGGCGTAAGGATGTGCATAGGTGTGAGTGCCTCCAGATCATTGACATCATCCGAAATGGGGGTAATTGGCCGTTCATTAATATAGCTACTACCTCACAAAAAAGGGGCTGAAGTCATTCATCGTCCAGCACTTGTGATCCAGTGATTACTTGTAAAACCTTCCTTATTGTCTGTATCTGTCGTTCCCTCACATCCCTCATGTGTGATGCTGTGGAGGAATTGAAACCCAGTCAATTTTTGTCTTTAGTAAGGTATCCTGAATGGTTTCATCAGCACTATCCACGTTTGTGCCGTTATCCAATCGAATACTTTCAGGGGTACCTCTAGGGGCCGATAATCTTACTATGGCTTTGGGAAAGGCATCAGCATCTAGTGAGTAAAGAACTTCAAGGTGTATCGCACAAGTGGTCAGGCACGTGAACAGACATCCCCACCTCTTGAGATGTTTACGCCCCTGTTTAATGCTGAAAGGTCCGAATCAGTCCGTCCCTGTGTAAACAAACGGCGGCTTACCTGGAGTAACTCGGTCCTCCGGTAAGTCGGCTTGATGCTGTTGCACAGGTTTCCAGTTGATCCGGCGGCACACCATGCAGGGTCGAGTGATTTTGTTCAGCAGCCGGCGACATCGGGAAATCCAAAACTTTTGTTGTAAACACGCCAACGTGTGTCCTCTTCAGGAGTGTCCAGCCTGATTTTCATGTACGTCCTGCGCTAAGATAAGTGGCGTGATGTTAATAAGGAAGTAGGATGGGATGCTGGCTGCCCCGTCGATAAGGGGCATTCTTTATTCGGCCACCCACCCTAATTAGTTCATCCTAGCCAAAAATTGGTTCCATTCTGCAAATCTCACTTTGCCCCATCAGCGTACCCCTAGCAATAGCTTTCATCTCGTCCGGATAACACTCCCTTTGCACCAAAAGTAGGATGGCGACCTCAGCCTCTTGCACCTCTGCCACACTTATTCCTCTGTGATTGTCTCGCTGGTGGTCATTATTCTCAAGCCATTTTTTTAATCTTCTGAGCCAAGCAACGCCTCTCAGTAAACGGGGCCAGAATGAATATCTAGTCCACAATATATACAAAGCGTTTTTTGTTTGTGTGTCTCCTGTGGCTAAGCTACTATTCGCCAAAGTAGCCACTGTCTGCTTCACTTCAAAGTCGCCACTTAGATTCAGTGGTAATCTCAGCTTCTCTGGCCACTGTGCCTCAACCTTCCACAGAAAGACCGGCCCATGGATCCATCGGCAATCATCAATCAGGTCCCCCACAGTAAGTCCACGGATTGCATCGTCCGCTGGATTCATTGATGTACCCACATGCCTCCACTCTTTCATTTCTGACAGTTCTTGAAACATATGTAACCGATTTTCAACGAAGGTATGGAATCGTCGACTGGCGTTTGCAAGATACTGGAGAACTAACATGCTATTAGTCCAAAAGAACGATTTTTCGATCTCCATGGTCAGTTTTTCTCTCATGATTTCTCTCATTGACGGCTAAGACAGTTGCGCAAAGTTCCAATCGGGGTATTGTCTGCTGTTTGATGGGATCCAACTTTGCACTGCCATATAGAATGGAACAGTAGATCCTTCCTAGGTCGTCTAACACTCTGAGATAAGAAACCATACCATACGCTGCCTGCGATGCATCACAAAATGTATGCAACTGGACTGAGACGGCTTGTCCAACATCTTTAGTCTTGTAACATCGGAGGACGCGGAGACTCGCTAAGTTCGGTAGATCTCTTAACTATTCCTCCCATGCTGTGTTATTGTGCTCCAGTAACGGCTCTTCCCATCCTCCCTTTTGCCTGCACTCATCTTGAAACAACATTCTTGATGAGGAACGGTGCAATGAACCCGAGAGGGTCGCAAACTGAGTTAACATTGCTCAAAAATCCCCTTTTTGTAACGGGTCTGTGCGGCACTTGAATCTTGGCAACAAGTTGGTCATTCTCTAGTTCCCATACCACACCTAAGGCAAATTCTAGTAGTAATATGGTCTTGAATTAGGCTGAGTTCCCTTATCCCAACATGTCTCTCATCCAGAGGAATAGAATTGAGGACGCCCTTGTGGATATTTGTCTATTTTGTTAGCCGAAACCATCTCTTTGATATAGTAGCTGTCGCAATTGCTGAGACATCCTTGTAGCATCCCCCGGGGATTCCACTGATATGAGCAAGTCATCCACATTAAAATTATATTCTGCTTGTACCACAGGTGCAGGGATGAACCTTCATTCGATATGAGCACGGAATTTTTTTTTAATTCTTCACCGTCCCACCAGAGGAACCTCAAAGCATCCCACTCTAATTTGGTGGAACATGGCTACAATTTCAGCCATGGGCGCAATCTATCCTTATCGGAATCGTAACAAAACACCTAATAGTTTGATATTTAGGTTTGGTCCTTGTAACACTTGACTTTTCAACGACGTGTTGTAGCAAGCAGCGGCACAATAAAAAACGATCCGCACCTTCTCTGGTTTGTTAGGGTTTAATACCAGGTGATGCGGGAGGTACCAGGTCAGCCCTGGACTGGAGTAGTGCCGGGAAGTGGGCACCCACTCTGCATAACCCTTGTGAAACAGTTGTTTTATGTCTTCAGTGTACAATACCATCACACGAAAACACACACAAAACTATAACAACAAAAAACATTACACCACAATACCATCACTCCACAACAATTTCGCACCACAATATCATCGCACAACAATATTATAGCACCATAACACTATCAAACCACAACACTATGACATCACAACATCGCCACACCACAACACCAATCACACCACAGAACCAATCATATCACAACACCATCACACCACAGCACCATCACACCACAACACCATCACATCACAACACCATCTCACAACAACACCATCACACCCCAACACCATGACAGTACAACATCCCCACATCACAGCACCATCACATAACACGACAACATCATCACATCACAATACCATCTCACCACCATCACACCACATCACCGACACACCACAACATCCCCACCTCACAGCACCCTACCTCCTTCTCACCATTCCTGTGTGTTCCTCAGCTCTTCTGACCGACCCTCTTCCTCCATTGTGTCGTCACCAGTCACTTGTTACCTTTCCCCTTCCCCTCTCCCTTTCTCCTCACTTTTCATCCGCTCCTTCCCTGACCCTACCTTTTCCCATCCCCTCCCTCCATCCATCTGTCCCCACCAATTCTCTCCCCAGCATTTATTTGTAACGTACACCATCTCCCACCACACCACATCCATAATCTCTTTACCTATAAACTCCCCACGTCTCCATACCATACACCGCTATACCACACCACACGCTGAAAACCTAAACCTCTCCACTCGCTTTACCCCCTCCAAAAAAGAAGCTATTTACCAATCTACCTCTCCACACCTCTACGCCTTCTATCCCCCACACCACAACCCCTCTACCGCCTCTTACCCACACCACCTCTACACATCACCTCCCCCCATCACCTCTACCCATCATCTCCCCCACCACCTCTACCCCTCATCTCCCCCAGAACCTCTACCCCTCATCTCCCCTACTGTAACAATAAATAAATAAAAACATGTTTTATTATTCCTTCCCTATTCTTTTATTTCTTATTTACTATAATTTTACTTCTTATACTTCTTTTTTTCTTTCTTTATTCCTTATTCTCTGTATTTTCTTGTGAGATGTTGAAGGTTTAGAGGAGAGAGACTGGGAGAGAGTTTTTTTTAGTTTAACAAATTTATTGACAAAGCTTGGAGTACAGTTTGCCTATTCTGAGTAATACAGTCAGGTCTTGACACTTTTGTTTAAGTTTAACAAATTTATTGGCAGAACTTGTAGTACAGTTTGCCTATTCTGAGTAATTCAGTCAGGTCTTGACACTGAGGGTGGTATCACTTCTCACTGCCACGCAGGACAGAGGTTCATACACAAAGAAATACATCATCTTCATTAACAGCTATAAATGTATACAGGTCAGATTCATATGGGTAATGTCACTGTTCACTGCCATGCAGGACAGAGGTTCGTACACAAAGAGATGCATCATATTCATTGACAGTACATATACATATATGTGCACACACACATACACATATACATACATATACACATATACATACACATATACATGTACATATATATACACATAAGCACACATACATACATACATATACGTCGGTCAGATTAATTTGGGTAATGTCACTCTTCACTGCTATATAGGACAGAGGTTCGTACACAAAGAATGCATCATATTCATTGACACTATATATAGGTCAGATTCATGTGGGTAATGCCATTGTTCACTGCCATGCAGGACAGAGGTCCGTGGATCACATACATTGGAGTCATATTCTAATTGAAGACTAATCAGTGTGGGCTAGCAAATTTGGGATGAACAGCAAGAATGTCCTCAAGCACACCTGATTCAATGAAGTAATTACATAGTTCAAGATACAATAAGTCAGGTGGCCTAAAGTCTTTGACAGTGTCACATTCAATAATATAGTGTTCAAGTGTATGCTTTAAAGGTTTATCACAAAGTTTACATGCTGAGTGTTCCGGTATGGGTACAGCGTTACTAACTTGCCAGATGTGTCTGTATACTAGCCTAATTCTGGCCACGACTACATCACATTGTCTGGTTCTGTCCTTATGCTGGCCATACCGGTACCTCTTGTCACAAAATTTGTCATATTTACTAATGCTACAACTGTCAGGTCTCTCTGCATTTCTCACTTCTTCTAGATCAGAGTTCATGATTCTGACTTGAATGTTTTTAATTACAGCATTGGACTGGACAAGGTCACGGTCAACATTTTCTTTCTTACATGCCTCATTGGCCAGTCTATCAGCACGGTCATGATACCTGATTCCAACATGGGACGGAATCCACACAAATTCGATACGAAAGTTGTTCTCATTGGCAGTTATCACATTCCTATTTATATCACATACAACTTTAGACATAGAGCCTGACGGGCTGTTCATTGATTTCAAAGCACTTTGAGAGTCACAGAATATCACCCCACCTCCATTTTCTTTGAGGTAGTGTCACGTGCCTGTGGCGCTCGGGAACTCGCAATGGCGTGAGGCATATGTTCACGCCTCCATTTCACACAAGCTATTAACTTGTTAATTGTACTTATTATATTATTATTGTTCTTAGTTACTTAGGTTAATTGTATATTTATGTATGTTAATAATATGCATCATTGTGTTACTCTGTTAAGTCAAATCAAGAGTAGTATTAATTAATTTTATAAAATGTCTAGCAAATGTCCTGGATAAAGTGATATGAGACGCGCTCCTCCACGGCGTGCCCCAGGCTTCCCCAGTAGCGAAAAACCGTGGCATTTGGTAGACGTGTCCATTCTTTCTCTAGCCTCGTCCTTTGTCTAGTGCTTTGTCCAGCCTTCTGCAATGCCCTAGTGGTATCAGGTATTAGTGACACGTTTAGTTAGGCCTAGGAAGGGATCCTGGTGGTAAGGAATCTCCTGTTTGGTAGGAAATAACTATTTTGTAGGGATTGTTGTATATATTTTGTATGTCTGTGTAATATAGTTATGTTAAGTAGTATTCGTTTGGTCTAACTCCTTAACGGTGTATTTTCACCCTTCCGGCATCACTCTTATTTTAATATACAATCACTTATTCCCTTAAATTCTTGTTTGCTAGTCATTACTCCCTTTAGAACATAAATTGAATTAATTAATTATCTTCCCTTTTGTGACTTACTTATTTCAACTTGTTCATACTTATTCAAGTACATTTAGTTGAGTAGGTTTTGTGGGGATAATTATTGCCGTGTTCCCTATTTGTTCCTTTATTTGATAATAACTTGGGGTAGGTTTCACTCCCCAGGTATAAAGGCTATTGGGATCGCGACAGTAGTCTGTGGCTAAGTAGATTCCAGTTAGTTCAGTTTGTGTTGTGCTGGCCCAGTTGTTCAGCCTTTGTTTGTTTGACACTATCATCTCTTTTTCTTTATATATTACAATTGCACAGCCAGTTCTACCTGTGTTTGTCTGCACAGAACCATCAGTAAAAGCATAACATTCACTTGATTTAATACTCTCTATGTGCCTGTTAATAGTTTCTAGTGTGACACATCTCACCACATCGGTGTTTAACATTTGATAACTACCAACAGGAGTGAAATTAATAGGAACTGATATGTCCAGCCAAGGAGGAATGGCATTAATAGGTTCGTCTGTGGTGATTGGGACATTCAGTTTCAAGAGATCTGCAACACTTTTATGAAGCCACGCCCCAAAGAGAGTCTTTTGTGGAAGGTTGGCGAGATGGTCGGGATTACTTAGATAGAACATCAACTCAGTTTGAGCTGTAGTTTGAGAACCATTGTTCTTCAAAACTTTGACACAAAACATGGTATTAAGTAGAGCTATCCTCTCA